TAATACATAGTGTAATGTGTGATGGTTAGGTGTGTGAAGTGTGAAGCTGCTGATTAACACTGAGGCTACTTAAAGCTGACCATACAGACATGACTGGCAAATTCAATGATTATACATATGTTTTTAAATGGTGTTTTTTTACTTTATTTAATCCCATCTTTCTTGATATGAATAATTATCTGCATTGCTATACAATATTATTCATCAATTCTCTGATTTAAAGTCTAGGAACTTTAGTCCCTTGACTGGAAATATTTCATATTAAGCCTAAATAAATTTGCACTTTTAAAAATTTGCAGATCTCGAAAGGAAGTCTTAAATAGAGCATCTTTAGTTCCTAATTTCTAGTGTAACATTAATTATAGCTGTTGAAACCTTTACACTAAATATCAGTGTCACTACAGTAAGATTTCCTGGCTTTAAAAATTAATTCAAACAGTATAATCCATATTATTTAAATCTTGGTTTAGTACAAAGAGGTATAATCCATTTATGGTAATACAATAACTGCTTATTCACACTTTTATGAGTGTATCTAATGAAATGCTTTAAACCTTTTTATGCAAATAAGACTTCTATATATTGATCAGATTTACTGCTTTTTGCCTTTCCTACAATTGCATGAGCAAACTGCATTTTGTGCAGAACCTCCATAAAAGTGCACATACCTGATTAGTAGAGTGAAATGATGAGTATACATATCTGTACTTATTGCCAATTATTTATGTTTTATTGTTTTAATTATAAGGAGCAGTCTTTGCAGGGATTGCAAAACAATATATTCCTATGTAGAGCAGAATTAAAAGAATTAATGTACTTTTAAATTGGACTCCAAATTAAAAGATATTTATCTGGCATTAATTTTAGGTATCACTTAGGGGAACTGAGATGTATTTTAAATGCAGAGTAAACCAGAAAGTAGAAGTTACATTTCACTGTTAACCGACTGTTACATGACAAGTAAACAAGTTTAATCGTGTTATTCACCTCATTGACTTTAATGATTCAATAATAGATGTAATAGGCACCTCAGGACCAGATGGCTTAGGGAAAAAAAGTCCCCATGAACTACCACTTTTTCATCTCAAGTATCTGATAAATATGTTAACTCCCTGCACTGCGATGACAGCCGGAATTTCTCACCAGCTGGCCAGTTGCTCCGCACAGTGGGTGATATCATCCTCAGCTGAATGTTGAATTCTCAGCTCTGTAGTAAGGTCAGGACTTCAGGGTTTTTCTTAAAAAACTGTTTTTTATTGATTTCACATAAACATTACAATCATTGACAAAAGGATAAGGGGGAAAGGTCTTAGGAAGGGGCAGATCAAGAGTTGAAGCTGGATTCAACAGGAGCTGTGCTTGTAGCAGCGCTCACTGCTCTCGTGCATTACCAGTGTGGGTTGAATGTGCAAAGAGGATGTGGGGCTACAGCTACTTCTCATCAAATTGTTTTACTACCCCAACCTTTTGCTCAGTATTTTGCTACCTCAAGCAGAGCCTGCATATGATCATGCCTGGCAGACATTTCAGCCATGAAAACACTGTTTATTTCTAGCTGTCATCTGTGCTGCTGCAAAAAAAAAATAAAAAGGGCTCAGAAGAATTTCACCCCCCTCTTTTCCCAGAAATGTCAACAAAATGGACACATTGATTATCTACAGCCTGTATCAGCCAACACTGTTCAGATCTGAAGAGCAGCATACAGCCTACTGTCTGCCACTATTGCTTGATTTTGGCCTTGTTTTTTTAGCACTTCTTCTCTCCTCAGATACCACATCTGTTTCTGCCTCTGTCTGTGCAAAATCCAACCATGGTAGAGCCTAACAAATGAAAGGGTTTTTTCCATGTGCGTGTGTTCACAGATATAATTTCCCATTTGTTCCCTGACTTCTGATTTGCCTTTGTAAGCTAGACCATACTTGGAAAAATTTTTGTCCTGAGTTTTGGAAGGGAAATGGAAATGTAGATAATGAAAAGAGAAAGGAGAAAAATAAGATACGAGTGCATTAACCATCCTGTCAGCTAAGGGACTCTGAAAAGACAATTCTGAAAGCCCATGGTAAGCTAGTTGTATATCTATTGAAAGCCCAATTTTAAAGCAAATTTGATTTTCTCATCAATTTTAATTACACACAAGTTGTATTAAAATGCTAGAAAACCCAGAATGAGTGGCATTACACAACTTTATAAAAAACACAAAAGAAACAAACCCCCTTTTTCTGTATTACTCACAGAATTTTTTACATGCTATTTATCTCACTTAAATGCATGACAAGTTCTTCAGCAACAGTCATAATAAAGAATAAGTCTCTTATCCTACCATAATGATGTGTATCTTCCCATAGCAGTACATAAAACCACTATTCATATTAATTCATTTACTCACTCAACATCACTTTGGAGGAGGGTACTATTCTTCTCTATAAAAATCCCTGGTTTAAATAAACAGAAACTGAAAGATACTGACAACAATCACCTAATCACAGGCTGATAAACATGTCTCTTTCCTCAAAATATATAATGAAGCATATATGTGCCAAAAGTAATACATCTGGAAAAGTTGGTTTTCTACCAAAAAGGGAAGCAGGAGCAAGAAAAAAAACCTGAACTGAAAGCCAGTATAGCAATGTATTAAACTACAAAGAAATTGATATTCTCAACACAGTAAGAATCAATACAAAGATGCATCAAGTGCAGCAAGTAATGTGTAGAAATAACACCACAGAAAAAAAAAGAAAAAAAAGAAAAAAAAAGGAGATGGGAATAGGAATACTAGTATTTTAAAAGCAGTAATAGGAACAAAAAATAAATTTTTCAATTATGGCAGAACAAAACTAAAACCCAAAAACCTAAATCAAAATAGAAGACATGTTCTCTGCATCATCCTTCATCAAGGTAACAAAAGTTGTCTTTACTCAGGTGCACAAACCATGATACAACATGTATAAAAAATGTGATGGAACTACATAATGAGGAAATACTTGGTCACACTGAGAATTTACTCTTTGGCACTTCACAGCTGCAGGCAGGCACAAATGCTAAATGGTCCAGAACAGTTCACTTCTCCAGAGGGAATCAATTTTTACAACAGATAACATGGAAGACTGAGATTTTTTCAGCACTTGTTATGTTTTGATGACCCTCACAATCTATATATGTGATTATTTTCAGTTCAAATTGTCTGATAGTGGACAAAGTCTGTCCAAACCAGATGGTTGCATAAACCTCAGAACGAAGATCTTATTGAAGCATTTGGAAATGCAGGTTCTTCTGGCAAAATTTTGAAAAGTCACAGGATTTCTTTCTTCCTTTTTTTCCTTAAGACATCCAGTAAAACTCTATTGAAAGAATAATCTGGAGAGTCACTTGAAAACTTTGCTTTGCAGGAGCTGGTTGGTTCACACCAAAGGGGACCTAGAAGTGAATTAATACTCACACAGGACTGAGGAACAAATTAGGCATATACATTATTTGGGAATATAAAGAGATACAAAAGCCAATGAGTTTTTAGATTACATATATCTTTCTGTAAGCAGAGGATTAATTCAAATGACTATTAGGACTGAACTATTTCTAATAGCAAATCACAAAAATATTATATTAACTTTGAATTTTTGCCAATTTGTCAGGGACAGGATTTTGGAATTGGTAAATGATAAGGATTAATCCAACCAAAATGAGAAATCATAAGAACCACTTTCTTTTGGGAATGTAGTGGATATAATTCCCCTCAAGAATGACCAACCAAAGAGTACAATCTCTTCTGAAGTTCCTCATCTCTCCTGAAATGTTCTTTATGCTAGAATACAGCATGTTCTGAAATAAATTTCAGCTTTATTTATACTGAGATGGAAAGCTAGTTTATGGTGTGCCCTACATCCCAGTCTCACAAGCATCTGGATCAGGACAGAAAGGCCTTGTACCTCTCTTTTGAATAAACCTAGTTTTACCTTTCTTCTGAAGCACATTTGGAATTTCATTTACTTACAAAGCAAGACATGGGTTGCAGAAAGAAGGTGGCAGAAAATGTCCCTGTCTTACTTGTACTCTGTTATGGGCTCAAGATATTGCTGAGCAGCTTAGATTCTGAAATGTTTTTAAGTGCCTTAGATATCTTTGTCAATCAGTTTTGTTCATTGAATTCTTCCTTTTGTGGTCAGGGCAACTGTGCTGGGGCTCAAGGCTCGAGACTTCCTCCTGACTCAGATGACAGTTCAGCTCTCAACCCCTTCCATTTTTTTGGGAGATCTACCTTGTTGTAGGGTGAGCAAATTTGGAAAACTGATTTGTGGTTCAGCTAACTTGGTATGTGTGCTTTGATCTAAGAGATCACAAAGTTGCAGCCTTGGGTAAGAGATTGTCACCACATGGTTCAAACCCTTTCTATTATCGATACTTAATTTTTTATACAAAGGAAAACAGCAAGCTTTTGGTTTAGTGCTTATTCACACAGGATTAAAATTTTAACTTTATGTGTCATGGATAAAGTCTTTAAAATAATAAAAATGGCTGTCACTTTTATTTCACTCTAGTTCTTTTTTTCTTTCTTCCTTCTCAAATGCTGGATATTGAAAATTTCACTTTCAGTTTCAAGAATTCTTTGATGTCACAGTTTGAAGAAGGTTAATTTCTTTTCAATGAAAAACCATATCAATCAATGCGAATGTCTTTTTTCCCCTCCCTCAGGAACAGCATCAAAAAGAAATTATTAGGAGCACCCTTAGAATGCTACAACCAAATAAAGGTTAACTGTGTCTGAGTTAATAACTAATGGGATTCTACAAATTCTATGGCTAGATGAATGTAGATAGTACACCTAAAGTGTGACGTTTCCCTTCTCCAGCATTTTCTAGTTTTACTTCTACATTTTCTGTCTCCTGTCTACCCAACTACTGATTATGTAGGCCTGTAATGGTCAGCTGGGTATTGTTGGTAATTAACCTCACAGACAAAGGGTAATTGCTCAATTGTCTTTGGAGAGTCTGATGGGAGAAGCCAGAGCTAGTGGCCAACCACTTTTTTTCAGACAGTGAAAAAAAGGAAACTCTCCAGAGTGAATGAACAAAGTTTGTATTAGTGTCTTTTAACTTTCATTTGACAGTATATACATTTTCTCCTTCTAAACACAAATGGCCCCAAAGCCAAACTGCTATATTAGATATTGTAAGTTTACAATAATATGTAATATTTTTTTGATATTTATGAGATAATATTTTTAGTTGCTTCCTGTCTTGGTGTTTATATTTAAAGAGAAGTTTGTTTAAACTTTAGTGAAGACATACTTACGATTTAACAGTGGGAGATTTTAAATTTAGTTTTAGTGATGGAAAAGCATTCTGAAATATATAATTCTGGGTGGTCAAATCTAGTCACTATGTCAGTAGAAATTCTACTAGCATCATAAGAGAAAACTGAAGAAATTTAACAGATGGTATTAGAGAAAGCCAAATATTAGACTTATTTTCTGGTAGCGTTAAGTTTTCTAGGTGCTAATAGAAAGTCCTATGTAATAAAAATAGAAAACAACTGAATCTTTTTCTTACAAGTGTACTTTTCTTTCCAGTCAGGATTAAATTTAGCTGAAGACTTTGATGTCATTAATAAGGGAATTTTTGCCTTCCCAAAGTGTATGTTCAATCCAGAAGTGTCCTGAATCCAGTATCTACAGAGTGATGAGATACTGGAACAGGTTGCCCAGGGAGGTTGTGTTAAAGGGCAGTGTTCAAGGCCAGATTGGATAAGGCCTTGAGTAACCTGGTCCAGTGTTCAGGCTGGGGGGTGGTTAGGATTAGATGATTTTTAAAGTCTATTCTAACACCTTAACATTCTATGACTCTGTAATTTTATATCATTTACTTTCAGTCATTTTTTTATGGCCTGTTATTCAAATGAGGGTTTCCACAACTGACAGAATTTATGCCAGATAGCTTTCCATAAATGGACAGGAAGGTAAGTAAATTGCCTTGAAGATCCCAACCTAATTAGTTTTAGTATCTATTAGAATGTTGCCATTTTTAACACAGTCTCTATTTTCCCAGACCAATTTTCCGTATTCATGGTCTTATATCTTGCTGTGATTTTATAGAAAGATGCTAATTAGTAAGAGATCAATTTGAATTTGTTCATTCCTACTTCACTTTATAGCAGCCAACAGACCTGATAATATTGCTGAAGTGAATCGTCATGGAGTCCAGTTTTATGAATATATTTAATAATAAAAGCAAATTATACCAAATCCTTTAATTTTGCGCCCATCCACAGCATGTAGAAAAAACAAACCTAGACAACTGAATTCAAAACCTAGAAATACAGGAGTTAGATTCCTAATAAAAGTAGTGTATATATTGAAAATATTGTAGGTTAAACATGTTACATGCAAAATGGTCTTCAGTGAGTGAGGCATTGAATTTTCATCCTGGTATTTGTAGTATTAAGGGAAGATGATTGTCATGGGCCATAGAGGACAACCAGCTGTGTGTTTCCCTCAAGACAACGGATGAAGCAAGCCATCATATTTCCATCTGATTTTCCTCAAACCTTCCCCTCTGAGCCGGACTCAGAGTCTGACAAAATTAATTTGGTACATGGCTGAGAATCCTTAAGCTGACCCTAACTGAAGCATTCTAGAGAAAACTCTACCACTCAATTTAGTTAATGAATAATCAAGTAACTTATCCAATAGATATCTTCCACTGAAAAGTAATTTTCTAAACTCGACAGATTTTTCTGCGAAGGATAATGAAGAGTTTTCATTTCACGCTTACCTGTACCACAGTTCTGAGACATCCCTACAGTATAAAGATTTAATACTGTGATTATTAAAACACAAAAAATGTGTCACAGTGAACAAGTGAGATAAAACTAATAATATGAAAAAAACCAAACTTGTGACTCAAATCTGAAATATTTTTCAAAATAAAATTGGTAGAGGAATTATAAAAATAATAGAAATATTCCTGTTGTACAGCATTCTAGATATAAAAATTGATGGATACAAATAAGTATGCAGCAAGTAATATTTCTAATTATTTTAGCCTTACTTGTGAGGACCCTACTCATATTGAGTAGTATGTATCTGCTCAAATTTTCCACTTAATTTCACCAAGTGAGATGTTTTTCACTGAAGGTGTAAACTCCTTTCTTTTCTGATGTAGTGCATTGACCTTGGCTGGATGACAGATGCTCTATCACACCCCTTCACAATTGGACAAGGAGGAGAAAATATAATGGAGGGTTCATGAGTTGACATAAGGACAGAGAGAGATCGGCAACAATCACAGGCAAAACAGGCTCAGCTTGGGGATGTTAATTGAATCTGTTACTAACAAAATCAGAGCTGGATAATGAGAGGAAAACAAACCCTAAAAATACCTTCCTCGCACCCCTCCCTCTTTCCCGTCTCTTCCTCCTACCCTGTAGCAGTGCAGGGAGATGGGGAATGGGGGTTATGGTCAGTTCATCACACATTGTTCCTGCTGCTGCTCAGGGAGAGGAGTCCTTCCCTTGCTTCATTGTGGGATGTCTCCCATGGGAGACAGTGTTTTATGATCTACAGTCTTAGTCCATCCCACAGGCAACAGTTCTTCACAAACTGCTCCAATGCTTCCCATTTCCATGGGATGCAGTCCTTCAGGCACAGCCTGCTGCAGTGTGGGTACCCCACAGGGTCACAAGGAAACCTTCTCCAGCATGGGCTCCTCTCTCCACAGCTCTGCTGGCCCCAGACAGGAACCTCCTCCAACACAGGCTTCTCCTGGGCTCACAAGCTTCTCTCAGGCAACCACTTGCTACAGTGTGGGTTTCTTCACAGGCTGCAGGTGGACCTCTGCACTCCCATTGACCTCCACGGGCAGCAGGGCCACAGGTGCTCCACCCCAGCCTGAACAGCAGGCTCAGCACTGGTTGCACCTGGAGCACCTCCTCTCCCTGCTTCTCCACTGACCTTTGTGCCTGCAGAGTTGTTCCTCTCACATACTCTCACTCGTTACTTCTCTGAGAGGAGAGTAACACTTTATCAATAACATTTTTCCAATAACATTTTTCCCTTCTTAAATATGTTATGACAGGGACATTACTATTATTCCTGAATGGCTTGGCCTTGGCCAGCAGTGGGACCATCCTGGAGATGCCAGGCATTGGCTCTGCCAGACATACAGGAAAATTTGGACATCTTCTCACAGAAGCCACTCCTTTAACCTTGGCTACCAAAATCTGTCCATGCAAACCCAAAAGAGCTGAGTCATATCCTAGCACCTTGGTGGAAGTTATCAAACATCCTGCTGCAAATTTTGACATTGAACTGTTGCTTCTAGAGAATGAAAACAGCAGGGTTTGTACTATTATTAGATATATTTTTAAATTAAAAATGTAATAGAAATAAATATGTAACCATATTTGAAATATATGACCACTAATGTGTGTGATTTATATCATTAGGTATTTAAAGATTGGTAAATTTTTCAGGCATAAATAAGTGTTTTTTAAAAAGTTTTGAAAATACAATATTGTTAACAGAAAGATGCTATAAAATATCCTGTGATAAAGCTTAATAATTGAGTTTCCTTATGATAAGATCCAAGTGGTTCCACAAATCACCATTGCATGACTTAAGATCACTTTTCATGTACAAATTGTACGTCATTATTGTTTTCTAGGCCACAGACAGTTACTATTGACTATGCAGTCTTTTATGATGGTTTGCAAATTACTGTTTTTTCACTTGATATGCTGCAACTTTGATATTTCTGCCTTGTAACTGGTCTAGTGAACTTTTCCAGAAAAACAAACTTGAAAATGGCTGTTTGCTATTGTCCTGGAAAATGCCAGGAAACACAAAAAAGCATTCAGCAGTAGAAAGGTTTCACGTCTCAGAAACTATTACAAGAGCAAGGGGTTATTAAATTTCCTATAATTCATTGGATTCAGTTTGTGCAGCTTCCAAAGAAGAAATGCCATAAAGAAAACTTAGTGATGGCATATGCTATGCAGTACTACTGTAAGACAATGGAGTGTGTGTAAAATATTATTTCTGTAAACAATTTTTTTTCTCAAACCCAAAGAACTATTTTCATGCTTGACTTCCCATTCTACATGAATCTCTGAATTCAAAGTTTTATATAAATCAAATATTGTCTGCATTTATTTTTACTGCACTTCATGGTATAATATATCACCATAAGATAACTTATTTACAACATTAAATGCTGTAAATTACTATAAGATGGAGCAACCTATCAGTGTGATGCTGGAAATGTAAATCACTGACATTTCCTAGCTCCCAGACTGATGTTGTTTTTCTTGAGCCTATGGTGTCAGACATAATTTTTAATTTGCATAATTTGCCTTAAATTATTCTGTTATCAAAAAACAGCAGGTATACACATGAGTACACACATGCACACAACACCTGTGAATATGTATATGTGAGCTATCATTTCTGAATTGAATGGAGGGGGTTGAACTGGTAGAAATAAATCACAAAACATATATCAATCTTCATTTAAGTTGATCTAAAAATATATGATATAGCTTAACCTAATGAAGAAGAATTTATGCGTATTTGAAAGGTTTTAAATAATGGTCTTATTATCATTAAGCTGAGCTCATATAATTTTCTTCTCTGTTATAACATCATTATACAATTTAAGGGTCTTCCAAGTATGTGAGAATTGTCAGACCTTTCTAAGGTTTCTTTTCTCTGCCACTAGATTAAGACTAAGTTTAGAACCGACTTTTCCCCCTGCTTTTTGTTGTAATTTGTCACTGAAAATAAACAGTTTGACATTGCAAAATCCTTAAAAAATTGCTTGCAAGTTAAATTGATCTAGACGTGTTTCGTTATCTTCAGTGTAGCAACACTGTTTACTTTAAGTCCATTTCTGCTATACACTAGTGTAGGCAGGAGCCAGCAGCTCTGCAAACAGGCAGAGGCTCCACACAGAGCTGCTAATCAACTCTGCCTAACAACTGATATTAGTTAGGGAACTAGTGGATTAGGACAGTGTGTTTGCAAAATGTCAGATCTGTTTGTTTTGAGGCAACAAAAGCTACTTCTGAGGGAGATTAAAGATCAGATGAGGTCCTGTGAGGAGAAACAAACAGATAACTTGGTTAGGATTCTGTATTAGAAACATAGAGTAAAATATAATAAAATCAGCACTATCTCAAAGAATCTCAAGTCAGACCAAAAAAATAAAAAATAAAAAAACCAAAAAACTCTGCTTAAGCCACGGGAGCAGGGGTATACCAGACTGAGTACACCAGGAAAGGATTTGGCTCACAAAATCTCTGTGTTTCTGTGAAGTAAAAAAATTATTTATTCTTACTTTAGAAACAGACTTTGGATTTTATTATTTTAGTAAAGACAAACAGGGCATATCTCCTTCTCACGGGGAATGAATAGTATCTATTTTAGAATGAAGACAGTGTTTTGCGCGTACAAACCAGATTAACTATCTGTTAATTTTTTAAGGAGCAGATAAATGACTAGACTGCCACAATGCCAGTTGTATTGAGATGAAATCTCAATAGCTAAGTGTAGCTGTTAAGTGTGCATATGAAGGAACTGTGCTGAATCCGCTGACAGAGGAACTCGGAGCACCCAAAGGCAGAGATGACTCCTGGAACCTGGCTGATCAGATGCATCAGTCACTCCCATCCTTACACCCTATTTGAACCTATCACACACAGCATCCTAAAGGAAAACCCCTTCTCCCCTAAAGGTGAGAGATTTTTATGGTCAAGTGGGAATATAATGAGCCAGGGTTAAGTTTAAGACCAAAAGCAGATTTTGTTTAGGCCTGAACAGGAAATATTTCAGTCTTCTATTAGAGGCTGTAGCTGACCTCATTTACAGAAGTGCTGCCTTTGGAATGGCTGTTTGCTCCTCAACCTTCAGAAGAGATTCATTGGAAGGCATCTAACTTTTAAAGGCTGATGGATCTTGTCTTTAGGGTCCATCTCCTGGTTGCACAGGTGCTAGGTGACTGATTTCCACTCCCAATACAGGAGTTGTAGCAGTCCAGCTCCTCGAAGAACATGAAAGAGTGTGTGGAGACTAGCATAAAATTAGATGTTTCAGCAAATCCATCCTGTCTGTCCAGCATGACTGAGATCTCAGATGAGTTTTTTGCCTGGTTTTGGATCTCACATTTAAAAAAAAAAGATTTGAACCAGTATGATAGAGTCTGGAAGGTAGTTACCATGGCCAGAAATCTGGAAAACTACTGCTTATGAGGAAAGTGAGGAATTCAGCTAGTTTCATCTGCAGAACTGAAAACTAAAGGGAGTCAAAATAAGAGCCTCTACATCTGTGGAAGATTATGGCAGAAAAGAATAAATGAATTTTCTCCAAGGAGAGAGGAAAAAATAAATAGGTTAAATTGCATTGAAGGAGATCTAACTTAGACACTCAGAAAAACTTCCCAGCATTGAGGCTATTTAAGCAAGGTAACTGACTGTTTTAGCAGGATGTGAAATCTCTATCTTTAGATGCTTTTAAGAACAGGTTAGATAAACATTTGTCAGGAAAAGTTTAGATCTAGTGACTCTCTCTTCAGAAGGGAATTTCCACAGATGAATTCCTGAGGTGTTTAAGAAGCTTTTCAGCTTCATTTTCCACAACTTTAACACATCTCAAAATGTTATGTTTAAAGAATTTATGAACTCATTAACACAGAAGTACCCATCATCCAGTCATTAATGTTGCATTATTCTTTAGAGTTGTTTTGATGTTTTCTTCTTTGCTCTGTTTTATGACCAAATAATCTTTCTATTACTAAACAAATACCACCTTTAAGAGGTGCACAGCAGAGCTGCACATTACTGTAAGACAGAGCAAGACCCTGACTGATATTATTATTTATGAACAATAATACCTAATGTA